AGAATAGGTGCAAAAACTCTAGCAATTCAAAAAGTCAGACTGTCTTCTTGCCTGCATGCAAACGATTACCCTATCTCCCCAGCAATGTTTCTTAACCAGATTGAAATGACTAAAACCACAGATACAGAATTTAGAATCTGGATAGCAAGGATGCTTATTGAGATTCAGGAGAAAGTTGAAATCCAATTCAAAGAGTCCAGTAATATGATCCAAGAGGTGAAAGATGACATAGCCACTTGAAGAAAGGACCAAACTAAATTTCTAGAATTAAAAAATTTACTACAGGAATTTTATAATATTGTAGGAAGCATTAACAACAGAATAGACCAAGCTGAGGAAAGAATCTCAGAGCTCAAAGGCCAGTTTTCTGAATCAACTTTAGACAAAAATAAAGAAAGAATCGTTTTTAAAACAGAACAAAACCTCTACAAAACATGAAATTATGTAAAGAGACCAAACCTGTGACCCACTGGCATTCCAGATAGACAAGAAGAGAGAGAAAACAACTTGAAAAACATATTTAAGCATAGAATCCACAAAAATATTCCCAATCTCACTAAAGAAGCTCACATACAAATTCAAAAATTCAAAGAACCCGTACAAGAGACACTATAAGACAACTATCCTCAAGACACACAGTCATCAGACTCACCAAGTTCACTGCAAAAGAAAAAAATATTAAAGGTAGCTACAGAGACAGGTCAGGTCACTTACAAATGGAACCCCATCAGGACATCTCAGCAGAAGCCTTATAAGCTAGAAGAGACTGGTGGCCAATTTTCAGCATCCTTAAGGAAAAGAAATTCCAAGCAAGAACTTCATTCCCCATCAAACTAAGCTTCATAAGTAAAGGAGAAATAAAATCATTTCAGATAAGAAAAAGCTAAGATAATTCATTATCTTTATCAGCCTTTCAAGAGGTCCTTAAGAGAACGCTAAACATCAAAATGAAGGAACAATACCAGCTACCACAAAAACACATTTAAGTACATAGCCCACAGATACCATAAAGCTAACTATTCAATCATCTAACAACATGACAGGAACAAAATCTCACATATCAATAGTAAGTTAAATGTCAATAGTCTAAATGTTCCACTTAAAAGGCATATAGTGGCAAGTGGATAAAAAGACAAAATTAAGCTGCTACCTTCAAAAGACCCATTTCACATGTGATGACACCCACAGGCTCAAAGAAAAGGGATGGAGAAAGATGTCATGCAAACAGAAAACAAAAGGAAGACCGGGTCACTATTCTTTTATCAGATAAAACAGACTTTAAACCAACAACGGTAAAGAAGGGAAAACAAGTCTATTACATAATGATAAAAGCATCAATTCAACAAGAAGACTCAGCCATCCAAAATATATATACACCCAACATTGAAGCACCCAGATTTACAAAAAAAAAAGTTATTCTAGACCTACAAAGACTTGGACAGCTACACAATAATGGTGGGAGACATCATCAGTTCTACTGACAGGATTACAAAGATCATTGAGACAGAAAACTAACAAAGAAATTGTGAACATAAATTTGACACTTGACCAATTGGATCTAACAGACATCTACAGAATACTACACCCAACAACCACAGAATGTATACTCTTCTCATCTGCACGTGGAACATACTCTAAGATGAATCAAATATTGGCCATTAAGCAAGCCTCAATACATTTTTAAAAAATCATAGCAAGCACACTTTATGCCACAGTGCAATAAGAATAGAAATCATTACTGAGGAGATATCTCAAAAGCACACAACTACATAGAAATTAAGCAACTTACTCCTGAATCACCTTTGGGTAAACAACAAATTTAAGGCAAAAATCAAACATTTCTTTGAAATTAGGGAAAGTAAAGGCACAAGACACCAGCATCTTTGGGATGCAGCTAAAGCAGTGTTAAGAGGAATGTCTATAGCACTAAACATATATATCAATAAGTCAGAAAGATCTAAAATTAACGGTCTAACAATGCACATAGAGCAACTAGAAAAACAACAAACTAACCCTGAAGCTAGCAAAAGAAAAGACGATTAACATCAGAGCAGAACGAAACTAAATTGATGCACAAAATTCCATGTAAAAGATCAACAAAACCAAATTTTTGATTTATTGAAAGAATAAACAAAGCTGATAGACAGCTATCTAAATTAGAAAAAAAGAGAGACAATCCATATGAGTACAATCAGAAATGACAAAGTTGACATTACAACCAATCCTATAGAAATAGAAAAGATATACTATTATGAACACTCTTATTCATGTAAATTAGAAAGTCTAGAGAAAATAGATAAATTGCTGGTAACATATAACCTCCATGATTGAACCAAGTAGAAATAGAAAACTTGCACACATCAATAGCAAGTTCCAAAATTTAATTAATAATAAAAAATCTACAAACTAACAAAATCCCTGGACCAGATGAATTCACAGCCAAATTCTACCAGACACAGAATAATGGGTACCAATCCTAGTAAAACTATTCCCAAAAAAAATCAGCAAGAAAGGAGTCCTCATAACTCATTCTACAAAGCTAGCACCCTCCTGATACCAAAATTTGACAAAGACATGTAAAAAGAAAACATCAAGCCAATACCCTTGATAAACATGGATGCAAAAATCCTCAACAAAATACCAGCAAACCAAATCCAGCTGCAACAAAAGTTAATTTGCCACAATCAGGTAGGCTTTATTCCTGGGACACAAGTGGTTCAACATACACAAATCAATAAATGTGATTCACCATATGAACAGAATTAAAAACAAAATGATCATCCCAATAGATACAAAAAAAGCTTTTGATAAAATCCAACATCTCTTCATGATAAAAACCATCAACAAACTAGGCATTGAAGGAACATATGTCAAAATAGTAAGAACCATCTATGACAAATCCACAGCCAATATCATACTGCATGGGCAAAAGCTGGAACCATTCCCCTTGAGAACTGGAACAAAACAAGGATGCCCACTCTCTCTACCCCTATTCAACATAGTAATAGAAGTCCCATGCAGAGTAATCAGGCAAGAGAAAAAAGTAAAAGGCATCCAAATAGAAAAGAAGTAGTCCAACAACCTCTCTTCACAAACTATATAATTCTATATCTAGAAAACAAAGACTTCACAAAAAAAGCTCCCAGAATTGATTAACTTCATTAAAGTTTCAGGATACAGAAAATCAGCATAAAACAATTAGTAGCCTTTTTAAACACTAATAATGTTCAAGCTGACAGAAAAATCAAGAATGCAATCCCAGCTACAACAGTCACACACACAAAAAATATCTAGGAATACATCTAATAAAAAAGGTAAATGATATTTACAAGGAGAACTACCAAACACTGCTGAAAGAAATTAGAGACAAAACAAATGTTGTCTCATAGACATAATTATGGATTGGAAGAATCAATACCATTAAAATGGCCATACTGCTCAAAGTAATTTACAGATTTAACACTATTCCTATCAAAGTACCAAGATCATCTTTTACAGAATTAGAAAAAAAAAAAGTATTCTTAAATTTATACAGAACCAAAAAAGAGCCCAAATCATCAAAGCAATCCTAAGCAAAAAGAAAAAAAGGCAAAGGCATCACATTACATGAACTTTAAGGGAAATAATTTTCGATTTAAAGTTCTACCTCCAAGCTTTCAACTGAGTGGAATATAGAATACAGGATTTTTTTCAGGATGAAATAATTCATAAGTTTTACATCCTATGAACTTTTTCTTAGGGAAGGCACTTGAGGACATATCTCACTACATCAGGGAAAACATGGGATGCAAGAAACAATGGAACTCACAAAAGTGTGCAGTCCTGTCCTGGCTAAGTTTACCTTTGTAAAGTGGACCTACAGAGCAACTAGTTGAAATTGAGCAGGAAACATAAGATTTTAGAAAAGGAGATTTAAAGAAATATCAAGATCTTGGAAATGTCTGATAATACAGTAAAATGGTAGAGGGCTTACACACACACGAAAGAGAAAGAAAATATATTTTAATGCCGGAAGCATTATTTGAATGGCATAAGAACAGTGGTAATAATTGTAAAAAACAAAAACACTATTTAAATAGCTATGGAAATGGAAAAGCTCTTATTGCTTTTCAACATTTGGAATAAACTTACATAAATAACAAAATAAAATGTAAATATTTTCTCACATTGTGAATAAATTTATTTTATTTATACAGAGAAAAGATAGTATAGTGAGAGAAGAATGGGAACGCTAAAGTTCTCATCTTTTATTAAAGGGTATTACTGTCTAAAGCTAATCATAAAGAATCATATTAACATAGTGCCCTTCCTATTTGGCCATTAATTCTTGCTTCTAGAATAACTCTTATAAGATTAAAAAACTACAATCTAAGGTAATATATTGAATTTTGCTAAACAAATCTGTGATCTCCATAACCATGCCTTTCATGGGACAAAAAATGGAAGACCATTCTCTTCAACTTTCTGCTATGACCATTAATGAGAATGTCACACCCAATATCCTTAAAAATTAAAAAGAACTTGATAAATACATAAGCTATCAAAAAAACAAAATATATGAGGCATAACAAAATTGAAGATTAATATCAAGAATTATAGACATACCATGTCCTTTTATATTATCTTTTAAGTACTTTCAAAATAAACAAATTGGTAAGTTGATTGCGGCAACTCTATATATTCATGTTAAAAAAGATTAAAGAAAATGAATTGAGAAAGATAAAATCAAGAGTTAAAAATAGGGAAACATCTGTTTCAGCCAACCCTCAGGAGTTAATTAGTTACATACTCTAATCTACTACATACATTTGATGGTGCACACAATATTCTGAGTATTTTATACATATTAAGTAATTTAATCCTCACAACTATATGTCTTACATACTATGTCATCTCCATTTTACAAAACAAGAGATTGGGACTAAGTTCCTATATAACACCCACATTCGAAATGATGCAAAAGACACATTAATAAACATTTAACATTTCTATGAGTTTACCATTCTTTCAATCTGATGACTCCTTTCTATAAACTGTCTTGAAGATTTCAGGCCATAATTTTCTTGGTATTTGATATTTGTGACTTTAAAAGAGGCAAGGTAATAAAAAGACTTATCATCTGAAAGGTAAAAGAAGCAAAAGTCTCATGGTTAAAGGTATTAAGTTGCTTTGTCCCCTACATCTTGCCCACATCTGCTAAATAAGCTACTATAATGCAGTTTATTTCTATTTAGTATAAAAATTACTGCAGAAATTTTTCAAATATTTTGTAATTTCATCACTGCCGCCAGTTAAAATAAAATATTCTGATCCCAAAGTACTAATACAGAATACTCCATTTATAGATATTTATGCATATCAAAATGTTCATAAAATTGGACATGCAACATACAGTAGAAAGATAATATTGAAAGCAATTGCTGAAAGTCATGTAAATGTCATCAATTTCCTCAAAGAATTGCTAACAGGGGTATCAGACATAAACTATATCATGAATATACACTGAACATGCTGCCAATTTTTTTTATGCTACTGCTAAGCTTACTTTAGTAAAAGTCTGTATTTATTGCTTTCACCTTCTTTTTTTTCCATTCACTCCCTAATTCTCTGTAATCTTCCTAACACACCAGTAAAACTGTCTTTGTCAAGGACAACAGTTGTATTATCTTTTAGGGTTTTCTTTGTTTTACCCCTTGATTTCCTTGTAGTCTTCATTGCGTTTCCTGACAATCTATCCTTGGTTTTATGAAGCCATCTTCCAGTTTTCTTCCTTTCTCCCTGGCCACACTTCTCAGTTATCTTGGTGAGCTCTTTATTTCCACCCTTCTCTTTGGCATCCAAAGGTTCTACCTTTGACCCGGTCATACTACTTTTTCATATTCTTAACTGGGATGGCCTTAGACACTAACTGTTTATTGATAACTCCTAAATTCTTTATCTTCAGACCAAATCTTTGTCGTGAGTTTCAATTCTATATCAACTGACTTCAGGAGACTATTTGTTGCACATTAAATAAGTACCTCTAATATATTTCCAAAGTGAAATAATCATTTACTCCTTTTTTTATTTATACCTGCCCCACTTCCTATATTTTCTCTGTTTGTGAACAGCTCTATCATCCACATGGTCACCCAAGGCTTGGTTTCATCCTCGTTTCCAATACCCAATTAAATTTTCAGTCTTTAAATCCTGTAACTATAACTCATTTTATATCTCTAATCTTTTTCTTTTTTTTTTTTTTCTTTTGAGATGGTGTCTCACTCTGTTGCCCAGGCTGGAGTGCAGTGGCACGATTCCAGCTCACTGCAACCTCTACCTCCTGGGTTCAAGTGATTCTCTTCCCTCAGCTTCCTGAGTAGCTGGGATTACAGGGGCAAGCCACCATGCCCCGCTAATTTTTGTATTTTTAGTAGAGACAAGGGTTTCACCATGTTGGTCAGGCTGGTGTTGAATTCCTGACCTCAGGTGATCCACTGGCCTCGGCCTCCCAAAGTGCTGGGATTAAAGGTGTAAGCCACCACACCCAGCCAAATTTCCGATCTCTTACCCCATTTTAAACATTCATTTTAAGACGCTTTTCAAATGCTTAAAACATTTAAATTTTCATTTAAATTTTTCTCAAAATATTTGAAAAACTTAAACATTCATTTAAAAATATTTTTTAGATCATAAATGCTATATCAGAAAATCTGGAATGACCAGAAAAATATATACAAGAGGATAAAAATCTATAGCCTTAATATCTAGAATTAATTGATATTATAATTTTTGTTTTTATTTATTCTGTTAAAATAACTTTTACTTGGCTGGGACAGCTTATCAACATAAATTTGTGTGTTTTTTGCTCCACTTACTAAATCGATTCTAAGCATTCTCTTACTTCTTTAAAAAAATATAATTTATTCATTCAAAATGAGATGTTGAGAAATATGAATCAGGGTGACAGTTTACAATCTATTTTGTTGTTTTGCTGACAACTTTTATTTCTTTATTCTTACTGATGGATGAGTAGATGAATTAATCAACATTTACCAAGTTCCTAACATACACTAAACTCTGTCTAATCAGCTCTCACATATATTATCTTATTAAATTTAATGAATTCAAGCTACTTCTAAAGGCACATCTTGACGAGATTTCATAATTAAAGTTCTATTACAAAAAACAAAAAGATTAAGGTTAATCCCAGAGTGACAGAGCTATTTTATTCATTAACATATACATAAACCTATATTGTCCTTAAGACTTTCCCTGTTGGGCAAAATCATGTTCTGGAATCATGTAGAAGTAAAAGTGATGCTAATATATACTTTAAATACTTTTAAAAGCTCTAAAAATATAAGTTATAAATAAAGCATAAGTATATTAGTCACTACACTATAGCAATTATGTTAATGTTGAATCTTTGTATTAATAAATAATACCTATTTATTGAATTGTCACTAAATGCAGAGAACATGATATTTGCCATTTATTGAATCTTTATTATATGCTCAGCTCATTTCACCAGTGAAGAAATAAGTTTTTATAAAAGATCAATTAGGAAGCCATTGTAGAAATCCAATTCAATAATGGCAAATATTCATGAACTATTACTATATACCATGCACTATGCAAAACCACATATCTAATTTAATCATTGCAACAATTTTCTTTAGTAAAAATAATAGTATACCCTTTACATAAGGGTACTGAAGCTTAATGAGGTAGAAAAGTAGTTTGCTAAAGATCACCTAATTTATGAGATTAAAATCAAGGTATGCTTGGCTCTTGGGATTTCATGGGAGAATAACATTTCACTAGAAAATAAAATTCCTGTGTTCCTGGAAGTGGATCCAGTCCTATAGAACAGGAAGACAAGTGATTCTAACTCAATGCACAGTTTACTCTTTAGGTTTTCAAGAAACCAAACTTAAAAAACAGTTTTAGATCATTGGGTTTCTGGATTTTGTTAAAACATAGCATTATTTCAGGTTTCTGACAGCAATCAGAAGAAAAGTCCAGTCCAGAGAAAAGATCCAGTTCCTTCAACGCTCCCCCGAATCACCTAAGACAAGCCAAAATCTTACAGTGCATTTTTTGAACAATCTTTTCTAGGCGGCCTGTGGTTCTCCATGGCATATGTTCTTTTTCCCTTCTATACAACTGAAGATGTATTCCTGTGATCTCTGGCTGAAGGACACTGATAAATTAATCATAATCAAAAGTCACGGCTTTAATTAATTCTTATTTAAAAATTGCCAAATTTTAAAGACAGTGGATGATTGTCAGAATTATACTGAAAGTTGATCATTCATTATTACTGAGATCTTTAGGATAAAAATAATCCCATCAAATACACGTCCATCCTGGTGATGTGACTTTTACCATTATGTCTGCTAAAATCCTTATTTCTATTGTGATTATTTCACGATTATTGATAATTTTTACTCCACTGTCTTTCAGATCTATTCATTTACAATCCATAAAAGCAATATTTTAGAAATAATTTGTCTTCTGTTGATACCCTAGTTACTAGCATGTAATTTCCCTCAATGGCTTCCTTCTGCTATAAAAATAGGTATGTTCCTTTTAAAAATGGCTTCATCTTATATATCTCTATTTTATCCCATTCTACTTGTTTAACTTTTGTCATGGGTTACCTTCTCCCCTCTTTTCCTAAATGTCCATTTGCAGTCAGGCAACATTTCAATTATCTGCAGTCAACACTCAAATCCTTGGCTGCTACTGCTGCTATAACAAATTACTGTTGGTTTGGTGACTTAAAATAACACAAATTTATTCTCTTACAGTTCTGGAGGTCATATATCACATGTGAGTTTTGCAAAGCTAAAATAAAAAAGGTGGCAGAGCTGGTTCCTTCTAGAAGCTGTAAGGGGAGCATCTGTTTCTTGCCTTTTTCTAGAGACTATCCTCATTCCTGCTGATGGTTCCATTTTACATTATCCCACCTTCTCCTATTGCTTTTGTTGTTATATTGCCTTCTTCCTCCTTTGTCCCTCTTTCCTCCCCCTTAAGAGGATTCTTGTAGTTATATTTAGGACCTATCCAAAAAATCCAGGATAATGTCCCATCTCAAAATTATTAGTTTAATGACATCTGGAAAGGCCTTTTTGTTACATTAGATAACATTCACAGATTCTGGCAATTAGGACATGGACATCTTTGGGTGGGAATGGAGCATGATTCAGCCTATGATGACCTCTAAAATGTTTTTTAATGGCTAAAATGCTTTTTTTGTCATTATTTTTACTATCTCTTAATTTTTTTTTTCTTTTTTAAGCATTAGGAGTGAAGGGCATTTTAAAAACAAAACTATTTCATTACTTTCTAACCCAAAGAAAATATTAACAAAAAGATAACATTGTAGAGAGTAGCTTGGCTTATGCTTTCATTTTATGAGTCTAAGGAATGGATATTATCAATCCCCCAATAATGAGGGTAGGAAGGTAAACTGGGCATGTTGGACAGTATTTCATTTCTTCTTTGGAACTTCCAAGTGTGGTTTTACTGTTGTGACTGATATGAGTGCCTAAAATTTTAAGTCTCAATCACCTGTGATTAAAAACGCAGAAATTGGCCAGATGCAGTGGCTCACGCCTGTAATCCCAGCACTTTGGGAGGCTGAGTATAGCAGATCACCCGAGGTCGCAAGTTTGAGACCAGCCTGGCCAACATGTTGAAACCCCATCCCTACTAAAAATACAAAAATTAACTGAGCTTGGTAGCAGGCACCTGTAATCCCAGCTACCCAGGAGGCTGAGGCACAAGAATCTCTTGAACCTGGGAAGTGGAGGAGGTTGCAATGAGCCCAGATCATGCCACTGCACTCCAGCCTGGGTGATAGCACAAGACTGTCTCAATTAAAAAAAAAAATACAGAAACCAAAGATGAAGTAAATGAATCTTGGTTGTCATTTGGCTCAACTATGATACTAACTCTCCATTTTTGTATATATAATTAGGAATTAATTCTTAGCTTTTCCTTCTTCCCACAGTCATAAAAAATCTGTTTTTTTTCCTTCAAAAATATGCTTGATGTTTAGCCCTTTAAAGGTATTTTTCAGGTAACTTTTCTCATATCATGAACTTTTCTTGAGGCAACTCATTAATATACTGATTGAGAAAAGTATACTAAACTTAGCACATGCTAAAGGTGATCTTTACATTCTTCTTTCTCTTTTTTATATGTTTCTTTTAGATGTGTCTATCAATGCAATGCTTATTTCAAACTTAACTAAGTGAAAATATGTAACACAGAGCTCAATGCAGAGGCAAACTATAATTTAACATTAGTAAAAGACTGGTAATTAAAATGATAGTATCATGCAAATGTCACTTTCAAGGTACGAAGTCATTAAGTTCTTAGGCAACAGAACTGTGACCTGGATACTTACCCTCAATAACAAAATGAGTAACAATACCAATTGCAATTCCTATGATTGCTACAATTGCCAATGTGAAAAGAGCTAGCCGCACTGAGTCCCAAAATTGCTGTTTTCGTTGATATTCAACTTGTGAGAATTCAGCTTCTGAAAATTCAACAGGTCTGTGATAATAGAAAGAAAATAGAGACAATAAAAATCCATTATACTTCAACTTTATGTTTACTTACTATGTTCCTCTATGAAAATAGTTTATACTCATAAATAACAGTAAGCAACTTAGATCTTGAAAAGAACAGTAGGTTTTAATTTGTGTATCTCCCCCAAAACTCCAATCACAGTATGAGTTTTAGATAAAGTACTGCTGATGTTGACATTCAAGTGAGGATATCTTCCCACTGTATTTTATCTGGCTTACTGGCCTTCAATCATGTAAAAGTAGCAACATTACTTTTGAAGATCTGATCATGGCTCTTTTCATTTACTAGCACCTCCCAGTGAAATCACAAATTGTGAATTGTACTTAGTAAGATTTCACTACCTATGAGCATCCTTCACTTACATTTGACTCACATGACCCCATTGGTGCATTACCTCCATTACCCAAAAATATCTTACACCACTTATCTTTCTCCAACTTGAAAGTTGCTATTTATTGACTGTATTGTCTGAATTCTCAAAAAGGATTCAATATTGTGATATCTTGCAAGTGAAATTTTTCTGTAAATGTCTTTATGCTTTTAGCTTTACTTAATATTAATTGTAAACTTGTTTCATTAAATGAGATCATGGTACCTACCACATTAAAATAATGTTCTAAAAACTGCTCTGGATCCCTAAATGTATACAAATTTTAAGATAAACTCTTTGCCTTTGGGATGCACACACTTTAAAAGGGAAGACAGACATGGAAACAAGTAGTTTAATTAGATTGTGTGAACTGTGGCAAAATAAATTTGTACAAGACGAGGGAGCACTAACTTTTTGCAGGCTTGTGTCAGGAGATTTTATTAAGAAAGTGACACGATTACATGTTTGAGGAATAAAAGTTCACCAGGTTGAAAAAAAAAAAAGAGAGAGAGAGAAAAGAACAGAGAAAATAGCATTTTGGGGGGAAAAAGGTACGATTGTGAAACAGCATTCACTTGTAATAGAGGATAAAAATATAAATGAAACATGACCTTTGCCCTCTAAGAATTTATGGTCTCAATATCTCTTCAAGATTGCAAGTCTTTCACAAGACTGCAATTCTAGGAAGAGGATATGGTAGAGCTGGTGGGCTAGGAGTCTCATAACCCAAAGTAAACACCTGGAAATTTACTCTGGAGGAGGTGGAAAGCCAATACAAAATTTTAATTAGGTAGAAGATTTCTGAAGATTTAGACAAGTCACACGATGTGAATGAGGATGGGGATTAGGGCAAGCATGCAGACAGACCAGTTTAGAGGGCGTATTGAAGGTCCAGGAAGGAGATTGTGAAGACCTGAACTGAGGCTGTGTAATACGGTGGAGAGGAGGAGATGGATTTAGCTGTAGTTCCTGAACTTTGTTAAATGATTGATCAGCTGTAGAACAAGAAAAGGATTAAGGGTCCACTTGTTTGGATGTACAGGTAAATGACTGTGACTCCAGGCAAGATGGGGAAGATTAAAGGAAAATAGAGTGTTTGCAATAAATATGTCAATATAGTTAATAAAGAGCAATTTGCTATCCTTACACTTGGTTCTGGGTCTGAACCAAATGAAAAATATCTGTTTTACAGCCTTTCTCTTTGACTCATTTTATTTTAGTTCTATCACTAATAGCTGTTTATATGTTTCTAATAAAAGCAACTGTTAAGGCTAGAATTATATAATCTAGAGAAAAAACAAATAAGTAGCTTTGTACTCATGTGAAATACCATTCTTCTCACCCATGACTGAAGTCTCTATTTCCAAAATCTATGACAATAAGTAGTTTGAGTATGCAGCTTGTGGATATTACGGCTGCTGTAATTATTCTATTATTCCCATTCCTTTTTCCCCTTTAGTTTTGTGGATTTCATTACTATACTCTGATCCTTTCAAGAAGCACGAAATAACAAGAATCAAGTTTAATAAAATGTAAGAGGCTGATAGTCAAATATCACATCGTGGTAACATTGCATCGTTGTAAAGGGACTTTTTAAAAACTCATAGTTATATGTGATTTTAAAAAAAAGTTTCTTCTGCCTAGTGATTAGCTATTTTCAGTGTGATGTAACTGGAATGTTGCCTTCTGTCTAATGCGGAAGTTGAAAGAAGTTTTACCAAATGCCCATTTATGTGTTTTGAAGTGTAGCTGGCAGGTACAGTATGCAGACACCAGCCAATTGCAAAGGAAGTGAGGTTTACCCTAATTGTGGAAAATGAGGTCATAATAAAACAACTAAGTGTTCAGAAAATTGTTAAGAAGTGTGTTAGTTAGGCTGTTGTGAGAAGCTTGTAATAAGCATAATAAATAAAATATATTCAGAGCAGTCTTAATAATGCAAGAAACTTTAAGATTTTGACTATATTTTAGATACATTTGTTAGATGTATAAATTGTTTCAGCTTTGAAGAAGATTATTTAGATGACATTTAAATTCCCTAATGCCTTTAAAATTCCTATACGTTTCTCCTGATTTGTATATAACAATTTTTTGTTCATTTAAACCTGAATGAGTTAAATGCTAAATGGAACTTTTCAACAGCATTTTTTTAAGAAAATTAAATTTTATTGGGTCTATTTAAAGTATATAGCATGATGTTAAGAAATACACATAGATAGTAAAAAGGTTACTATAGTGAAACAAATTCATTTATCCTTTATCTCACCCAGTAACACTTTTTTGTTTCTGTGGTAACAGAGTCTAAAATCTACTCACTTAACATGAATCCTACATAGAATAAAATTTTATTATCTATAGTCCTTATGTTGTACATTGGATCTCTAAATGTTTCATTCTACATATCTGCTACTTTATCTCCTCTGACTGACATCTCCCCATTTAATTGCCCTTGTAACCACAATTTTGTTGGATGGCTTCTCTGTATTTTTGATTTTTTAAAAAATATTCCACATCTAAGGCAGATAATGCAATATTTTTCCTATCTGTTTCTGGCTTATTTCACTTAGCTAACATCCTCCAGAGTCATCTATGCACGGCAAATGGCAGGATCTTGTTCTTTTTTGGGCTCAGGAAAATTCCATTGTAGGTATTTCCACAACTTCCTTATCCATTCATCTGTCAATGGACACTTAGGTTGTTTCCATATCTCAGCTATTATGAATAATTTCATTTCCTTTTGGTATAAGCCCAGAAGAGAGATTGCTGGGTCTTATGGTAGTTTTATTTTTAATTTCCTTAGAAACGTCCATACTGTTTTTTATAATGTCTGTACCAATCTACATTCTCAGCAACATTGTCCCAGGTTCCCTTTTCTCCACATCCTTGTCAACATTTGTTACCTTTTGACTTTTTGGTAATGGCCATCCTAAGGAGTGTGAGGTGGTACTCACAGTTCTCCCCAGCCCTGCAGAACTGTGGGTCCATTACATCTCTTTCCCTTATAAATGACCCAGTCTCAGGTATTTTTTCATAGCAGTGTGAAAATGGTCTAATACACCTTCTATTCCAAAACTGTTGAGAATTTTTATCAAGAAATAATGTTAGTTTTGATGTACATTTTCTTGATGATTAATGGTGTTGAGAACATTTTCATTTACTGTTGGCCATTTTCATGTTTTCTTTAGAGAAATGTCTATTCAGGTCTTTTGCACATTTTTTAATCAGGTTATTTTTTCCCCACTATTGAGTTGTATAAGTTCTTTATAAATTGTAGATATTAACCCTTTATCAGATATATGGTTGCAAATATTTTCCCCAATCTATAGGCTGCCTTTTCATTTTATCAGTGGTTTCCTTTGCTGTATAGAAGCTATTAAGTTTGATGTTGTTCCGTTTATTTATTTTTGCTTTTGCAGCCTTACCTTTTGGTGTGATCTCCAAAAAGTTATTGCCAAGGCCAGTGTCCAGGAGCTTGTACCCTATGTTCTCTTCTGAACCTTTTGTAGTTTCTGGTCTTCTATTTAGGTCTTTTATCCAATTTTGAGTTGATTTTATTTTTGTAAGGTATAACATAAAGTTTCAATCTCATACTTTTGCATGTGGAAATCTGATTTTATTTACCGTACCGGTGCCATTTTTTGGTACCAATACCATTTATTCAGAAACTATCCTTTCCTTATTGTGCCCTTTTTATGCCCTTGTCAAAAATCAGTTGACCATGGCCAGGCACAGTGGCTTACACCTACAATCCCAACATTTTGAAAGGCCAGGGTAGGTGGATCACTTGAGCCCAGGAGTTTCAGACCAGCCTGGACAATATGACAAAAACCTGTCTCTACAAAAAAATATATTTTAAAAAATAGCCAGGTGTGGTGGCACATGTCTGTAGCCTCAGCTACTTGAGAGGCTGAGGTGGGAGGATCACCTGAGCTGAGGAGGTCAAAATGAGCAGTGAGCTATGATCACACCCCTGCACTTCAGCTTGGGTGCCAGAGTGAGACCCTGTTTCAAAAAAAAAAATTATTTAACCACATGAGTTTGGATTTATTTCTAAGCTCTCTACTATGTTTCACTGGCGTAAGTGTTTGTCTTTCTGCCAGCACCACACTGTTTTGATTAACATAGCTTTGTAATATAATTTTAAATCAGGAAGTGTGATGCCTCAAACTTCTTATTTCTCAGATTTATTTTGGCTACTCAAGGTCTTTTATGGCTCCATACAAACTCTGAAAGATTTTTTTTCTATTCCTATGAAGAATGCCACTGAGATTTTTATAGGGTTTGTGTTAGATCTGTATATTTTTTGGTCTAGTATGGACATTTTAACAATAGTAATTATTCTGACTGAGAACATAAGGTATCTTCCCATTTATTGGTATTGTCTTTAATTTATTTTCACTCATGTTTTATAGTTTTGGCATGTGGACCTTTCACTTCCGTGGTTAAATTTATCCTAGGTATTTTATTTTTTTAATTTTTGATGCTATTGGAAATGGAATTGTTTTCTTCATTGATTTTTCAATTAGGTTTTCATTTGCGTATTGAAATAATACTGATTTTTGTATGTTGATTTTGTACCCTGCAATTTTATAAA